GCCCCCCCCCCCTTATACTTGCTCACCGTGAGTGGTATCTTCCGTTCAGCTATCTCGTACAAGTATTATGGCAGCTGCTGCAGCGCGAGTGGTCAGAGGCCGCCACCGACTGTCTGTCTTACTTTTCAACACTACAGTACTACCTGGCCATTACGGTGTCGATGTGCTTCTCTTTACTCACACAAACAAACAAAACAAAAATGGCAGCAGCTCCGACAGCTCAGTTAACCTAACCGTGCTGGACTTTAGCGCGGGTGATAAGTTTTTCTGGTGTTCGTGGGGCGTTCTGGAACATAGTTTGTTTTTTCAAGTGATTTTTTTCAAGGCTCTTTACTCGCCTGGTTTGGCTCTGTCGGAGATTGAATTTAAAACGGCCTACGTAAAAAGACCAAAACAAACAAAAGCCAACAACTAATTGATCCCTTTTCTTTAGTGTCTAGTGTGATATCTCTGCCCCCTCCCCACACACACAAGCTCACGGACATTTATGGTGTGATGGTTTGAGTTCTTGCTTTGTACGCCAAATTCATGATATGTATTCCTTTGTGTTGACGTCATTTCACAGAGTTTACTAAAACTTAAACCGAGTTTCTCCCTATTTTTATCTCTTTGTTTACACGGATGGGATCATGGCAGACGGTGCATCTGTACCTCCTCCTCCACCTCTTCTACCTCCACCCCTTCGCCTTTCTCCCCTGGGTCCACCTCATACTTTACGTACTTTTTTCTGTCGTCTTATCACGAGTTGTCTAGGGGGAGATGACATTGTTGTCGGACGTGGGCCAGGTGTGTTGCTGTTTGGATCATCTGTTGTTCTTTTGGAGGGTATCTAGACTCATTCGACGCATCTTTTTCTTGACCTTCCTTCCTTTTGTCCGGACGCCGTTATATCACATGTTGTAGGCCCTGGAGGCTGGTTGCTGTAGCCTCATTCTCATTACATGTCCAAACTACCTTATTAAAGTCAAACCATCAGAGCACCTGCTTAGAATATTCGGTAATATCTAGTTGCTGATCCGTGGGCAAGGACCGCACTGAGTCCCTTCCACTTCCCCTGCAGTCCTTTTAGCTCAGTTTGTATTATCATGCTGGACTACGGAGTGGATGGCCCTGGTTCGAATCCCAGACTGGATGTTCCTGAACCTGGTCGTTTTGAAGAGTTTTCAAGGCTCCTAATGCATTCGGCTTGGTCCTATCGAAGACGGACGTTAGTTTTGATAGAGGAGTTAAACTCGTACCTATGGGTATGGTGTATGGCACAAAAGTCAAATGCCCCTTTTAATTTTAACACCGGATGCTAGTAAAGTAAAGTGTGTGAGGTTATCGCCCTTACCAACACTATGGGACCACCAGTGTTAACGTTTATCTGTAGTAAATACGACGAGATCTCGGGGCACGGAACATTTAACAAAGCGCACTTGGAACCGTCAGCATCTACACACTTCGAGATGTGCTTCTTCAGGGGACGGAGCCGCTTGTGGGGATGCCCTTTGTGCTGTGATGTCGGTCCTTCACACTAGTAACAAGTAACAACTGAGCAAACAAGTGAACGGAGAACCACTATCGCCAATGTCTGTTTCAGATGGGGCACTTTATAATGATGATCACTGAAATGATTGACGTGATTTGTGCGCTGTTTTTAGCTTAGAGCAGTTTTCATGTTACATAGCCACTTGTATTTTTGTTTGTTTGTTTTCACAGTTAGGGGATTTTAGCTCTGCTGTTGTTGGATTTTTATTATTTTTATTTTTTATTAATTAATTTAATTAATTAGTTTTTATTTTTATTTATTTTTAAAAATGTATTTGTTTTTAATTAATGTTTTAATTTTTAAAAATTTATTTATTTATTTATTTATTTATTTTTATTTATTGTTGTTTTTTTTGGGGGGGTCATATCTGTTTTTCTGTTTTTGCCAGTTCGTGTCCACCTTAGATACGAAGAGGCTTCTTATTTCTCTGTCTAGTAGTTCTCACCGCTGGAATGCCTTTGTGATCGTTATTATGAACCAATTGTTTATTTCTGAAGTTTCAGTTAATCACAGACTGTTTCGCAACGATGGCTTTTCTAGTATCTGACAAATCGTGGTCAGGTTGTGGATTTTGCTTCTCACGTGTGCATTCCAAACTGCATCTTCGGTGCAGCGATCAGTTGCTGTTTGCGCAGGAAACCCGAGTTCGATTACCGAGTGAGGAGAAAATGTATACCGTGTGGTCCGTCTGCTGGGATGCTGTATCCCTCTCCTCAGCCCGAGTTGGCTCTGGCAGGCAGGGTTGAAAGCCAGCCTCCTTAAATTATCTAAATTGTGTCAACGGGGGCATAAAAAGCACAAACATTTTTTTTAAAAACGTCACTTTGTAAAGATTGTCTTATCAGCTCCACCGTTGTGCGCAGGAGACGCGAGTTCGATTCACACAATGGGGATGTTTTTAAAAATCGAGTATCACTTTTTTCTGCTGGGACGTTGTGTCCTTCTCGGTGCTGGTTGGCCCTGATTTGCATGTTTGAAGCAGCCCGCCTCTTAAATGATTTGGATAATGTCGATAGGGGGCGTAAAGCTTGTACACGAATCACGTTTTGACCGTTTACATCTCTCTCTCTCTCTCTCTCTCTCTCTCTCTCTCTCTCTCTCTCTCTCTCTCTCTCTCACACACACACGCGCGCTCGCACACGCACACACAGACACACACACACACACACATGCACGCATACACACACATTCACCACTCTAATTACCTATGTATAGTCAATATTATATGACACTCACAGTCGCAGCAAGATCTCACAGTTTCACAAAAACATGCAACATGCCCAAATTTTCCGATGCATACTATAACAGTAGTCAGGTAGACAGAAGGATGGGGGAGGGAGATGGGGGTTGGGGGGTCGGAGGTGGGTGAGGGGTGGAGGTACAAGGGAAACAGAAAAAGGGGAATATTGACATGGAGACTTGGGGTTGGGGTTGCACAGCTGAAAGGAATTAATGTGGCCTAAATAGCAAGGGCATTATACCCCCTCCCTTCACTATATTATGCACACCATAAAAACCTTCTTTGCCTCACTCACTAGTTGTCTGTTTGTCCGTCTGTCTGTCTGTCTGTCTGTCTGTCTGTCTGCCTGTCTGTCTGTCTGTCTGTCTGTCTGTCTGTCTGTCTGTCTGT